CCCCCCCCCCCCCCCCACCGTTAATAATCAACAGCCAGCAATCAAGAACGCGGACGGTGGGATGCATCGGCTCTCGTCTTCTTGTCTTAAGACGTTAGCGAATAATAATAAAGTAAGGAAAGGCGTCACGAAGATTTCAATTTACGCGCTCGCGCTACCTTCGAGCGTCTAAGCTTGAGGCGCCAAGGACGCATGATTAGTTAGTTGCGCCTTCGTCGAGCGATTTTGGATGTCACCGTGTCCTCGCATTCTCCTATTAAATTCGTAAATTGTCGCTAAATCATTAATGTTTTTAGCGGTTTTAGTAGAATAATATCGGCTCGGCTACTCGCCAGAGTTTCACAACGAAATTTCATTCGTCAATTGTCGATTTTATTTCAGCAGTTTTTGGCTTCCGAGCTTCGGCTATGGGAAAATGACTTTTATTACCCAACCTGGTGGACAGACTATAAGACCCAATTTCATTCGAATGTATTGCATGCATTTTATTTATTTTTTTTCATTTTTCTTTTTATCATTTTTATCACTAGCCCTCTATAGGGAGAGCTTCCGTAACACTAATTGTACGATAATGACAATAGGTACGATCCAACACTAAAGCAGCGAAATTACGTTTATTATGCTGTCTGACTCCGCGAAATCTCTATTATGCCGATGATATTAATTGTATTAATAGTAGCAATTGTTGTAATTTCGCATTGGTTCGAATTTGACATTAAAATTGCTTTTCCGCGAACGTTCGATGCGTTCGAATTTAGCAGCGTTACAAACAATTTCAAACAATTTGCCAATTAAATTAATGGAAATTCTGTAACTGTTTATTTGTAACTGTTTAACTTTATATTGATTGAGTTCTATTATGAAAAATAATGTCCCGTATTCGTAGGTTGACCAACACCATGGATACATCCATTGGAGAAAATTGTTTTATTTACATAAAATAGCGAACAATTACTGCAAACATTTCAAATAAATATTTTAATTATTGCAAGAGATCAAAGGTGGAGAATCAAAGTAAACACGTTTGCACAAATTTTGCGATTATGATAAATTGATAAATTATGCACGTGTGTCGAGCAATGTTAGAACAAACAATATTTCGATTTTGCATGAATTACAACATTTTCGAATTAAAACTGTGCCTTATGCATCGCATTAGCACAACATGATTCCTCAAGTCAGACATACGCGATAACGTATTTCATAATAAATTTGAACTTATCTCGAAAACTTATCGCGAAGTCGAAGAATTTATTTTAACCGCTTACCTGTTTTCAATTGGCCGAGATTTCTTTCATAATATTACAAAGTTTTATAATGAATTTAATCACGATAGTTCCCCCCCCCCCCCCCCCTACCTACCTACCTAACTACCTACCAACCACCACTCTCCTCTCTCGCCACTCTCACTCTCACTCTCACTCTCACTCTCACTCTCAGTCTCACTCTCACTCTCACTCTCTCTCTCTCTCTCTCTCTCTCTCTCTCTCTTCCGCCCATCCCTCAATACATTCGATAAAAACATGTATTATCTTCTTTAAATTACTTCATGTAATAAAAATGTTAATGCATAAAGTTAATGTATTTTGTCACCAAATGATAAAAAAATCACGAAAAATTTGATAAATCTTGCTCAAATTAGCGTCAATGATGGAAGACGAGTGTATGGAACATTTTGATTTTGATTTTAAAAAACGTATTTATGGTGTTTTATAAAATCTCTTTTTTATTGATACTTTTTGACAATGTGGATTGAGACACATGCACTTACGCTCTGCTTGTTCGGTTCAATAATTCGTTTTTCATAGCTTCAGAACATTGGCATGAAGATACGCGAAACTTAACTTAATTTTATGTGTGCGAGATAAACATTATTTCATAGCTGTGTTTGGCGATAACTTTAAAGCTTGAATGAACGCTTGATAATTTTGCCTTTTGCATCATATTCCTATTTGTTCGTTTCTTTTTACTTATTTATTTATTTATGAAACATTGTTATTATTGTTTTGCAGAGAAGTTTCTTGAAAATTTTATATGCCATGTATGTAAAGATTTTTTCAGCAGAATTTCAAAGTTTTATAAAATTGTTCTTAAAAATCTATTATTTCTTTTTAATATAATTGTAAAATTAATATTTATTAAATTTAGAGAATAGCTGATAAGCTGTAGTATCGTAGTAGAAAATATTTAAAAAAATTTTTGTTTCAAGATTTACATTAACTACGTGATATGAAGTACGTGTATTGTATGATGATAAGTTGGCATTCAATATTGAATTATTTATTTTTTTTTTTTTCATGTGATATGCTGGATTTTTCATGTTAGGTTGATAAAATAATTTGATGTTCAATGTATCTGTTTCAAGCAGATAGTTTCAATGCCATTTAGCATGAAATAATTTATTAGGAATACTCAATTGAATTGAAATAAATTTATGTTATATTTATTTTTCGTTTGCTTTCTCATTTAATTTGCATTACAACAAATTCCAGGTAAAATATCATTTTTCAGCACAAGCATATCTCAATATACAAAAAAAAAACAACCTCTTATTTATTATTTAGTTATTATTTCGTTAAAGTAATTCTCGTTAACAGTAATATCTGTCACTTAACGAATCTACCACGATTACAAAATCCCGTTCGGTTTCATAATTGTAATTGTAATAATAGTAATAATAATAATAATAATAATAATAATAATAATAATAATAATAATAATAATAATGGAAAAGAGCAGCAATAAATTACTGCCTGTCCTTATTAATAAAATTGCCAAATTGGAAAAATTTCGTGAAGCAAACAAAAACGTTACAATTAGCTTCGCTATACTTTAAAATACTTGTTAATGATAATATTTATTTCTTCCTTTTTTTGTTTTTTTTTTGTTTTTTTTTGTTTTTTTGTTTTTTTTTTGTTTTTGTTTTTGTCGTTCTTTTTCTCTTCTTTTTATCAGGCTCGCGAGGCCAACTATACTATACATTTGCATGATGTAAATAAAGAATAAAGCTAAAAGACCATTTACGCCGCCTTCTTTGTGAATAATGGTATCGATGCATTTTTATTCTCTACTCTCGCAGGAGTGGGCGTTCAATTTATGCATAGACAGTTTTCCATTATCGCGCACAGAAATTTGGTGTTGTTCGCATCGCAATTTATAAATTAATCACGTTTTGATTTCCTTTAAATCACTACTACAGTTGAAATTCCATTGTGTTTTTCAACAATACATCAGTAGATTTGGAATTATTAATCACTCATTAATGAAAGGAATTTTCATCATTATAATCCCATATTAATAATGTACATTATATATAATATTCGACAAAAATATTAGCCAATGCGTATAAGAAAGCCTTTTAATTTTAACCTCCACAATAATTTTTTCCATTGAGCAATTTTTTTTATCCCATTTGTTTTCCACGCACTAGGAATTACATTGACAATCTTAAATGCGCAATTGGGATTCGGCAAATTTCAGATAATATAACCGCGGACGATCAACAAATCATGAAATGGCGTACATTCGTGGATATAGAAAACAAAACTTCCATTCAAAAACAAGTTTAATATAGTATTCATTCGATTTTTAGAAGATTCGAAAGACGTAACCGTGATATGTTATGTTTAAGGAAAAATGCAATCGACCTTGCTCATCCCTTTTTTCCTCTTGTATCTTTATAAAAACTACCGAAAACGATTGTTAATTATGTACAATAAATCTGCAATACAGCATATAATAATTCTTTTTTTTTTTTTTTTTCTATTGATGTTGGCATTCGTTTGTAGGGCGCGTCCTCATTTCAGCCAAAGCTTCATAATAAACGCTCACTCCCACATCTTCAAGTACACATAGGAGACACGCGTATTTTTGTTTTGTTTTGTTTTTGTTTGCGTGTGAATAGGTAAATGGTTAGATCGGATAGACTCTTCTAATAGACTTTGCAGACGGACATAATAGAAATACTACATATATATATATATATATATATATATATATAGCTTTGGTGGTACGTAGGACCTTTTCAGCGTCATCCTTCTCATTATTTGTTGCCTCAAATGAAAATTTAATAAGCTGACGGAAGCCTTCATTATTATTCGTATAATGAATGCTGTGAAAACTTGTGAACGAAAGTAATGATCGACAATTTACATTTTCTCAGGCAGATATGTTAATGTACTTCGAGTACAAACTGCAAAAGGTCCGGTACGCTTTGACATAATACGCTTTATATAATAATACAATCACTAATTCGTATATTTATTGCGCATATTCCTTTTTTTTTCTCATTTTGTTTCAATATTTATTTTTATATACACTCAACGATTTCGCAATTTCTTTCGCAAAAATTAGCTCAAGAGATCAACCGGTTCACTTTTTCAAAGTATATAATAGTAAAGATTTTCTTTTCTATCTTAAATTTAATTTTACGTTGAAATAATTATATCGATGAGAGCTAATAACTTCCTTTCTATCAATAATTCTATAAATAATGGCATAATCATATAATCTTTACATTAATATATCCTTCGCGTTACAATTCTTATGCGTTTACGGATAATAGATGATGTTTTTATGGTTGTCATCGTATCTCGAAAGATATAATTATATGTAATAATTGTATGCTCTAAATTAAAAATAGAATAAACTTTATTCTCTGAGATTGTAATTACTTGCAACTTTATCATCTAATCTATAATAAAAATTTATTAATATAAACGAGATATTTAATATTGGATAATCAATAGATTGCATGAAATTTTATTACTAGAATTTTTATCTCTCGCACATTATTTTTATTTCACAACATTTAGCCTTCATTATTAGCTTTGATATTTTTCAGAAATAAGTTAGAGACTTTTTAAACAAAATTTGTGTTATGTTATTCATTCGATTCGAGCACCGAGGGATTCAGGTAAAAGATCATCTAAAAGTTTCAAAAACTTAACGATATAGTCAATTGCGTTGTATCATTATTATTAATTATTCTGTTTATTGAC